ACAGATGCACACATAAAAATAAATAACTCTAAGAAAAGTATTGCCACAGTCTCAAACGTCCCCTGTGTTTTTCTTCCTTGTCACAAATCCTCCTGGGCTTTTCCCTGGACAAGTATATTATATGCATACTGTAGAAATCTAAAGTCACACGCAGAAATGAAGTGAGGGTATTCTTCCTTTTGTGTGACTGCATTGGTAAGAGTTGGGGTGATTACTTGTCAAATTTGAACTTGTTATGTGCACACACTCGGGTTTAGAGTGTGCCTGCAGCCAGAGATGTCTACTCCTTGTTAGGACTTAGAATCCACATATTTTCATCCAAAACAACAGCAGCAGCAACGATAACAACAACAACAACAACCATAAAAGATACTCAGATAATAGCTAAGCTACCATAGTCTTCATCGCTTTATCTTGTGTATCAAAAAGCTGCTATAATATTGACTACTTTACATTTATACTGATTAAAACACTCATTTGTCTACAATGCCTATTGAAGTCACGTGCTCAGTGACAAAAAGCATCATAAAATGAAATGTATTGATGTCAAAAGGCACGCTCAAGACCTTAAGACTGATTCAAGTCCTAGCAGGCTCTAGCCACTATTTTTTAAAAGTATTAGATTTTTCTGCTCTGATAGGCATTTCTGGAAGAGAAAGAACAGACTTACCAATTCAGGTATTGATAAATAAAGGCAATACTCATTCAAGACAGAAAATTTAGCACTATTAAATATTTTTTTTTCCAGGAGCTGAGGATGGAACCCATGGCCTTGTGCTTGCTAGGTAAACACTCTACCACTGAGCTAAATCCCCAACCCATTAAATAATTTTTAAGCATCCAAAAATCTCCAAAAGATTTTTTTAAAAAAAATATTTGAACAGATCTATGAAAGTTTTGCACTGATTATTAAAGTTTTTAGCCTTAGTAATTAAAAGGAGGATATTGAATTAATATATATTTAAATTGATTAACCTGAAGTGCTTAAATTATATCAAAGAAAACTTAATTTCCTTTAATTTACATTATCAGTGTATATCCTAAGGAAGGATTTTGCTAACAAAAAGTAAATTATGGTTCAGGTGTTGTCAAGTTACAAATCACTACTTCTTAACAAAATCCAGACTTAAGAGACTTTAAAATATCTTTATCTGTTGTAAGGGGAATGCATGTAACTGTACAATGGAGATCAGAGTCACATTTTGATAGGCTGATTTTAACACTGTTGCCGGGGAGTTAAACCACAGTCGTTACATAACCTGCAGCCGCGTCCTTTACAAGGTGGTCGGCCGTGAAGTGGTCAGTTTGAATTCATTGAGCCCTTATTTAAAGTTCATTTTGTAGAAACTATAAAGTGGGTGCAGAGACACAATAAACCTCAACACAAAGAGGTGATCAGACAGACCTAGAAGCAGGGGCTTTTAGGCATATCTGTCCAGGTCTCTTCAGCAAGCATTTTGTCAAGTAAGAAAAGACCTAAGGTCTACATCTCCAAGGGATGTATCTTGCACGACCCTTAACTTGGTGTGATCTGGACACAACGGCTGGATTATTTAACTAAACACAATTTGGGGTGGGAAATGGGGAGGCAGCCCGATTATTCAATGAGACAAAACTCCACCAAGACAGAAGATGGAGGCCATTCATGGGAAGGCAGGCAGGTTAAACAGTAGATATAATATGATTCTACATCTTCTCTGTACAGCCTGTGCATGTGTGTGTGGGCACAGCAAGTCTGAGTTCTATCCGTGATAATCTCAGCTGTAGAACACGATGATGCTTTCATCACGGCTTGGAGCATTTTAAATATTCTATACTATGCATGTGCTAATAAAATAACTAAAAATACCACATTCTGTGGGAAACTCCTCGACCCTTTTGTCACAAGAATAGGACTGTTTATGATCATCCATTGTAGCACATTTGTTGGACGTGGATGTCAGAGATGAGGGTGTAAAGGTTTTTATAAAAAGGCCCCAGCTTCGATTCTCTGGTTTTATAATGCTGTGACTTATTGAGATGCATTTACTGACTTTCATGCTATTTCAACTGCGCATTAAAGACACTGTCTTGACTTCCACTCATTGGAGACATAGCAGTTTTCTTCACTAATATCCTTAACATCAGATAGCTCAAAATAAAATGTACATTGCTAAACAAGCTCACACAACACAAACCTTTGCATAATAACCAACCTGTTTCTTTCCCACCAGGGAGGGTCAAGGTTAAAGGGTTTTAGGATCACCACTATATATGCAAAACAGGATCCTATAAAATAAGCAGCCATTTTAGAATGTCCACCGCTTCAAAAGAAAATGAATCAAGGAGCAGAAAAGTTATTTTTTTTTCAGCTTAGAGTGCTTGGTTTCAGCAGATTCTGACAGCAAACTAATGTCATATCATTTCTTTCAGACTCCGTGTTTAAGTCGCGCCTTTTGGAAATGGTTCACATTTTTTATTCAATGCTGATCTCTCAAAGTCTAACTTTTGAAAAAACTGAAAAATCACTTGACACATTTAAGGGTTTTCTATTTAGAGCAGAGTCAATTAGATCTGGAGGTTAAAAGTGTCTTAGTCTGGGGTCTGGGGAGACGGCTCATTAGGCAAAGTGCTCTCTGCTCAAGTGTGAAGACTAAAGTTTGGATTTCCAGAAGCCACATGTAAGGGACAGGTATAGAGCCATGTGTACCTGAAGTCCCAGCACCAGGGAGGAAGACCCTGGGGCTTGATGGATGGCTGTCTTGGTCACTGTTCTATGGCTGTGAAGAGACATCATGACCAAGACAGCTCTTACAAAAGAAAGTATTTAGTTGAGGGCTTGCTTACAGTTTCAGAGGCTTAGCTCATGGTCATCATGGCAGAGAGGATGCTGGAAAAGTCACTGACAGCGACATCCTGATCTGCAGGCTGAGGTAGAGAGCCTGGGTCTGACATGAGCTTTGAGAAACCATAAAGCCCACCCCCCAGTGACACAATTCCTCTAACAGTGCCACACCTACTCCAATAAGGCCACACCTCTTCATCCTTCTAATCCTTTCAAACATCGCCACTCTCTAATGACCAAGATTCAAGATCTTCAGTTTCTTTCCATGAAGCTTCCAGACTCTGTAAAATATGCACTAGGTGATGTCATTTCTCTCTTCAAGAAGAACCTTTGGTGGCTTCTTATCACACAGAGATCAGAGTCCAGGCCCTTCACAGTCTCATGGACTGTGGTGACAGGCCTTCTGCTGACCTCACCTCTGAAAGCCTCATAGTCTGCTCCAATCAGACTGTCCACTCTCAGTATCCTGTGAGCATCTTGCGCTTGCTAAGAGTAGTAGCACATCTGCCTACAGAACACACATTTGCCTCTGTGGCTTTCACTTAGCTAGTGCTTCTGGGTGTGTGTGCGTGTGCGCACGTGTGTATGTGCATGTGTGCGTGTGTGTGTGCATGTGTGTGTGTGTTCATATGTGTGTGCATGTGTGCATGTGTGTATTTGTGTGTGCATGTGTGTGCATGTGTGTGTGTGTGATTCCTTCCTTGGATTGGGTTCTGTGCAGCTCCCAGTTTCCTTCTCTGCTCAAATTACCAAGTTTTTTTTCCAGCAAAAAAACAAAAACAAACTCTCATAGGAATAACTTACATTTCTTTTTTTGCTTGCTTGATTTGAGACAAGAAGGGTCTTACTATGTCCAGATGTTTCAACTGGCCTGAAACTTACTATGTTGACAAGGCTGGCCTCAAATTCAAAGAGATCCACTTGCCTCTACCTCTGCCTCTCTAGTACTGAGACTAAAAGTATGTACTGCTATGCTTGGCTATCTTATGTGTCTTTACAGTACTACCAGCACTTTAAATATGTGCATGTCTGTCTGTCTGTCTGTCTGCCCCCTCCTCTTCTTTCTCAGATACGTGTACATACCAATTCACTTATAGTTTGTCTCTCAATACATATTTAAAAAGCACAACAATAAGGACTTCGTTTTGTTTACTAATGAACTCCCAGTGTGAAGAATAATGTTTGAAGGAGGTTATATAGAACTCTTTCACCCCAATAAACACTATAAGCTGTAGACTAAGCACATAGCACTAATGACTTAAGTCCTCAGCACTTAGCTCTACCATGACCGTAATAAAGCAGTACTGTGAAGTCATTTCCTCAGCATCTGTCTTCTTCACTTCGAATTTCAGAGAGTAGGGCTATGGGAAGCTCAGCACTTAAGAACGCTGGAGTTGTAGGTAAAAGACCTAGGTCTATTCCCAGCACCCACATGGTGGCTCACAGCTGTCTACACTTCCACTTCTAGGGGATCTGATGCCCTCCTTTGACTTTCGAGGGCAGCAGGCATGCACATGCTGGACATACATACATACATACATACATACATACATACAAGCAGGCATGCACATGCTGGACATACATACATACATACATACAAGCAGGCATGCACATGCTGGACATACATACATACATACATACATACATACATGCAGGCAAAACCACTCATGCATATAAAAGTAAAAATGAACAAATATTTAATTTCAGAGAGTAAGGACACTGTGAGTTGTGGCTTCTTCGAGTTTCTTGTTTTATTCTGCTTTCTGCAGTGCTGGGGATCAAACTCAGGACACCCCACAGGCTGTTGTTATCACCCTACTGCTGAGCTGCAGCCCCAGCCTCAGTAAGTATGTGTCAATGCGTATTGTTAGAGAGGTGGTACAGCATAATTTCAAAACCGCACTGTACCCGCTCCGGCTGAGTCCACCAGGAACACAACTTCACACCTCACGAAATTCAACAATTGGTTTTTATCAGCGTTAGGACTGTGCTTTATCCCATGAGACTCACAGTTGGTCCTGTCAAAGTCTAAGGCGTAGTTAGCTTGGAATTTGTTTTTTGTTTTTTTGGGTTTTTTTTTTTTTGAGCATTACATAAAATGCATGACTCCAGCAAACAGCGGTACTCTCCCCACTCGTGAACGATAGCTGCTGTATCTAAGCCTTCAGGTACTTACATCGATTAAGTCTGAAAGATCGTGGATATAATACTTGAACACAGAGGCGTTGGTTGCTTCAAGTGTTAGGAGATACTCGTTGCGAGCTTTGATCGATTTCAGCTTATTTTCTGAATATTTTGCTTGTCTCTGGTAATGAAGAAGACAACGGGCATCAGGAGAGAAAGCAGAGTCATCCCCGTAAGACAGAAACACACACATGGATTTTCATTAATCTATACAATTCACTCATATAAAAACAAGCCTTCAGGTCCTCTGTGGAAAGTCCATTTCAAATGTGATTTAAATAACAAACTCAACTTCCCCGACTCTGGGAATAGCAACCACGTAGTTGGGCTCTGGGCCCATTTTCACTGAAATCTCTTTGTTAATATCCCAGTTCTCTGGATTTTCACTGAACACTTGGTATTCACCACAAAATGATGTCCAGCTGTTATGACATAATTTTATGTGTCTTAAACATTCCTCCTTCCCATGGGAGGAAACACATGTCTTTTCATAGTGATTCGTCATGTGTGCCTATTGCTGCTGTTATCAGGGCTTTCGGGACTGTACTGTCTCCTCAGACGAGGATCCCGCAGCTCTGCAACTTACTTCTAACCTACCTTTTCCTTCATTTTTTCAATTTTCTTCACAGAGCTCCGCCGCTGATGCCTCTCCTCTAGCCGGATGTGGAAAACCGGGTCGCCGGATCTCCCAATCTGCTTCTCCTCCTGTTTCTCAGCTTCCTTCAGCTTACTCTCTGCACTGATGCTCTCCGAGTGGTACATGTGGTAGGTCTTCATCACCTGTGGAAAAAAAGGGACCCAAGTTGTTAAAAAGGTGTCTGCCTGTGGCTTTCAGAGTGAATGGGATCATTAGAAGGCATGCATGTTAAAAATATCACCTTGTAACCGGCAGGGGGGAAGCCAGACTGTTAGTTAAATAGATGAATTATGGCCTCCTGTTTTTACATAAACCAAACATATATGCAGATTCACCTGTCAGGAAGAGGTGCATAGGGGACCGTCTCTGATAGCAAACGACTTACAGTGGCTTATGTGTGTTTTTCAACGTACTTGCAAAGTTCTTTCAAATGTGAAAGCTTTTGTCGTTATGAACTGGAAGCATAAGCCGTCTTTTCACGGTTACGTTTTAGTCTAACCTGAATTCCACATTAGTAGAATCTTTAAGGAATTTCATTGAACAAAATCTATTTGTCGAAATACCAACATAAATATTAGGGCTCGTGCCTAAATTTAATATAAAGATTGGTTTTCTGATGACTAAGTAATACTTTATATTCAAAATAGAAAAGTAAATGACATGGCACAGGGTTTAACAAAATAGACAGAAAACAAGAACAACACTGGTATTCAGTCTGGTCTTTTTCCTGTGATCATACATACACATACCGTTCATTTTAAAATGCCACATATTATTTCTCAAGTTCAAGTTTGGGATCAGCCAATATGTACATTTTAACGTGTTTTATTTTTTATTTATTTTATGTATGAGTACCCTGTTAGTGTTTTCAGACATATCAGAGGAGAGTATCGGATACCATTACAGACGGTTGTGAGCCACCGTGTGGTTGCTGGGAATTGAACTCAGGATCTCTGGAAGAGTAGTCAGTGCTCTTAACCACTGAGCCATCTCTCCAGCCTAATGTGTTTTAAAATAAATATATTGTGGTGCAGTATTTGTTAGAATGAGTGCAGGCATGTGTGCAGGTGTGCATGCTTGCGAGCATGTGTGTGTGTGTCTGTTTATTCCTGTAGAGGCCAGAATTGAGTGGGTGTTTTTCCTTCGTGTGCTTCCTGCCCTTATTCTTTTGAGACAGGGTCTCTTACCAAACCTAAAATTCATAGATTTGGGTAGATGGACCGGCCAATGAGCTTTAGGGATCCGCTGTCCCAGAATTCCTCCCTTCCATGGCCAGCCTTTTAAAATTTGCATTTTCTGGGGTCTGAACTTAGGTATCCATGCTTGCACTGACTGCAATTGGTCTGCAATTGTAGAAGGCAGATTTTATTTCACTCGTAAATAACGAAGTTATCCAGATTCAATTTTGCCACTAAGGTGTAGCTGTTAAGAAGTTGAGGCAAAAGCAATGTTTTAAAGCAATAAGCTTTCCTTTTCTCATTTGGAAAGATGGGTTTTAAAATCCATGCTTTCCCTCCATTCTGAAACACCAAATGTTCTTCTAAAATGTAAGTTTAAGGCTGGAAGGTGTTCCTGAGTGACTGTACACACTTAACTAACTGGCTACCATTGGCTATGTTGGGATCGGACTATAGTAAACCCCTTGGTGTGCAGACTGTCTTACTTTTACACATACAATTAGTGTATCAGTAAAACCACAGGACATTTTTGCTATGGTATATTATATTATGGAACACGAAGGTTTTATAATACATCTTTTCTATAGGTATGATACACTCACATACTAAATCTTCAATATATAGCCTTGGTTATCTTACTGCTATAAAAATGTGCATGGACAAACTTGTATCCTACTTCCTAGGACAATTTTCCTAAGGGAAAACCATAGTGTTAGAGAACACGTACTTTTGTGTGTGTGTGTGACTTTGAAATACACTTCTAAGTATATGCTCTTTAATTAAAAACAGCAATACCAAGCTGATATATACTCTCTCAAAGTACTGTAAATACCTAGTCTAGCTATTTAATAAATCTCTTCCTGGATAACAAACGTTTCTATTACTATTTAAATTAATTTTTTTTGTGTGTGTGCATTATTTGTTCTGTCTGTGCAGCTGGCCGAGGAGGCTGGAGGCATCGGATCTTCCTGGAGCCAGAATTACAGGTGGGTATAAGCCGCCTTTTGTGGGCGCTGGGAACTGAACTGGGGTTCTCTGCAAGAGCTGTAAGTCCTTTCAACTATTGAGCCTGCCCTCTAGTCTTGGCGTTACTTACCCTTATGATACATTATATGATTTATAAATAATATAAATATAATATTTATAACCTCTGCATTCCTGCTTATAGAAGAATAGTAGTAGTCAAGTTTTAAGAAATTTCCCCTGAAAATGACAGTTTTTCTCATAAAATTTCAACGTGCTGCTATATGTAGGGTTAGGTATCTGCGAAAAGCTGAAGCCTTGTTCTTTATGTACAATTGTATTTGCTAAGAAAAACAATGCATGCATATAGGTGTGTCACATCAAGCAGCCTGGGATGGGTCTGCAATTGTAGAAGGCAGATTTTATTTCACTCGTAAATAACGA